AAATTTGATTTGAATATATTATATATAAAGTATCAAAATTAAAAAGAACAAAATATGTGGAGTTCATATGAACACAACCTAACAAAAATAATTGAAAAAAAATATGTATCTCAACAATGAGAGATATAAAAATGAATATAACGACTTAAATAACAAAATACCCAGAACAACGATATATGAATGAATAAGCAAAAAATCAAAAAATAAAAACGTTGAATCCTTATACACAAACAAAACCAAACAAAATAAACTGTATAAATGACCAACATAACAAAATAAAAAAAATTGATAGATATCACAAAATGAAATACACTAATAACAAAAAATATATATACATCATCTTAATCACAAACTAAATATTGAAATCTGAACTATATCTCATCTTGGAAGTTTAGTGATTTTTCTTTTTTAATTTTTTTTATTTTGCAATAATTGTTCAACAGAATATTTGAAATGGTTTTAGAGAATGTTCTGCTGATTAAATCAAAAGACCCACAACTGCAACATATTGATTCTCGGAATAATTGAGAAGGGAATTGATTTTAATTTCTGCTAAATTCTCCAAAACTTTATGTTGTGACTTACATTGTAGAAATATTGTTTTGAATTTTTCAGACACCAATATTAGTTGGTCTGAACCATACGCCATTTAGAAATAAAATGAGTAATAAAAAGTATATCTCCCTTTACCAGTCCAAGGAATTACCGCGAAATCGTAATACAGCGAAATTTGGGTATAGGTAGGTATAACGGCCCATTTTTTACGCGCTCTTTATATTTAATTTCTTTCGGACTCATTGTAGGTAACTCTACAATTTTTTCACTATTCAATTGATTCATTATCGTAGTTTGATATATTGAGTTAATTTCATCTTATTCCAATTCCAAATTTGCAAAAAATAGTATTCTGTAGTACAACGTCCTGATTTTCAATAAAATGGAATTTCGTTACAACGCCATAACTCGGTATTGATTCATCCTATTGGATTCATTTTTTCACCAAAATTTGAGGAATTTGTTGGGGATCATTTCGTCTCGATTGAGTGTGCTTCTAAAATTTATAGTAAATGAGCTATAGCCTATCAATTACGAACGCATCAGTACGGACTGATGTGAAATCTCAACCTACTAGTGTGACGTCAGCGTCGAGAGAGAGGGGATAGACTACGGCCCGGTGAGATACAGTAGGCCCTGCATTGATACATCGGCACCTCGATCGGCACCTGAAAATTCGAAATTTGGTACGCTACATACTTTTCACGCCAAATTGAATCCAGAGCTGAACATTATTTCAAAATCGCCATCACAAGTGTAAAGGGGTTAGGTTAGAATCCCAGTTTTCGATTGCTTGTAAGAAGATAATGGGTATCCGTGTAATGAACTGCTATTTACTCGGAAAAAATAAGTCCTATACAGGCTGATTCACGGTGGATGGCACATTAGACGTTTCTGGTGAACCAGACAACGGTTCATTTTGAAAATTCAATGGGGGGCATATTTGGACATTCTCTAGCCAACTAAAATATTTTCGACAATGCGGTGTTGCCGCTTCTATTAGAAAGCAGTAGCAACTTTGATTTTTCAAATGGAACACTCTGTATTTTATTGCATTTTCAGATTCTCATTGAAGAGCAGATTTCATCGATGTATCACACTTGGGGTCTAGCGGAAATGATTACAGAGATATAGGGTGTGAAAAATCGACATTTTTCAACTTTAGGATTTTTTTGTGTCGAAACTATTCATCATTGGTCAAAACGGCTCACATGTCCCTATCTCAACTTTTGATTAACTATACACTGATATTTAATTGGGACATATACCGGGTGATCAAGATTCTGAATTCTGCACCACCCTGTATTTGTTTCAATTAAATGTTAGTAGATAGTTGATCAAAAGTTGAGATAGGGACATGTGAGCCGTTTTGACCAATAATGAATAGTTTCGACAAAAAAAAAACCTAAAGTTGAAAAATGTCGATTTTTCACACCCTATATCTATGTAATCATTTCCGCGAGACCCCAAGTGTGATGCATCGATGAAATCTGCTCTTCAGGGAGAATCTAAAAATGCAATAAAATACAGAGTGTTCCATTTGAAAAATCAAAGTTGCTACTGCTTTCTAATAGAAGCGGCAACACCGCATTGTCGAAAATATTTTAGTTGGCTAGAGAATGTCCGAATATGCCCTCCATTGAATTTTCAAAATGATCCGTTGTCTGGTTCACCAGAAACGTCTAATGTGCCATCCACCGTGAATCAGCCTGTATATCATTAGATTCTTCAAAAATTTTGACGTGCACGTCAACATTTTCCAAAACTCTAATAAATCAATAATCAAAACGTTAAAAATAAATCGTCAAGCAAATGGGGTTGTTTTGACCCGCAATAACTTCAGTATAATACGTTTCTGACGAAAATTCTGAAATTTTGACCTCAGAATCTTATCTGGCGTTGAAAGTTCATGCAGTGTACCAAATTTCAATATTTCAGTGTGAGCGGGTTTGAAAATAATCAGGGAAACCCGTCTTTATGGTGCCGATGCATTAATTCAGAAAATTGTGATTTTCTCGAAATCATACACTCAGTTCCAAAAAAAGTAACGCACTTGATATTCGACCTATCTACTTAAAAAAAAAACAAAAAATAGTAGGCCGATTTTTAATTTTTTTTATGTCTTTAAAAAAAAAATAAAGAGGTGAAAATTTTTTCAAAGCCTCCTTGATGGTGGTGGAATAACTCGAACCATGATTCATTCTTAATTCTTGACTCACCCTGTGTGTTAATTGAGTAATGGCATAGAAAGTGCTTACACCCTTTACGAAAGAGGCTTCTTTTTGCGAGAATTTTTTTTTATTCATTGATTCATCTCTAAAATTTTCCAAATTACAGCTTTTTTTGCTGAATCCTTGCAGATGACCAACTTTCTGAATTTATCGAGTTACAATTTCCTAATGAAATAAACTGATACTAATAATTTTAAAAAACATTTTTATTAAACACAAAATTATAAATTGGGATGACTGCTTAATACCGTGTATTGCCTCCTCTAGCAACTCTAAGAACTTCTAATCTACGAGGCATACTGGAAATTAATAAGTTGCTTATCGTTTCCATTGGTATACGATCCCATTCTTCCACTAATGCATCTGCCATTTCTGCGAGACTTTCCGGAGACCTCTCGCGAGAACGTACCCTTCTCCCTAATTCATCCCACAAATGTTCTATAGGATTCATATCGGGGCTTCTAAGAAGTTTCGCACTATTGCTGCGGTGTGTGGTCGGGCATTATCCTGCATCAATATAAAATTATTGCCCACTAACTCTGCATAAGGTTAGACATACTGCTCTAAAATGTCAATGTCATTAAAACTTTCGCATTCTGTTATTAAATTTTGATTAAACCGTCCACCAGTTCTTCTCCACACTCTTTTTCTTCCATCCACCATCTTAAGGCAAAACCTTGACTCATCCGTGAACAAGACATTCGACCATTCAGGAATATTCCACTGTCCATAATTTTCAAAAAAATGTCTTCTAGCAGCACAATGTTCGGGCAATAATTTAATTTTAATTTACTGTTACTATCCCCATCGTTTACTAACGCAACTAATCTTGCTACTTGTTCAGGCATTTTATGTAATTTTAGTCGATAAAACAAGACACTTAATTAATGACACAACGACAAATGGTCAAATATGGAGGCATACAACAAATTAGTTGCTCTGGCAACGGCTTTTTTTTTAAGACAATAATGTGATCCTACCAGAGTACAGCGCAATCAATTTTGAGTACTCTGATCCTTAAATAAATTTAATTTGTGGGATAAGCGTAAGGTATCAGCAAAAAAGCTGTAATTCGGAAAATTTTAGAGATAAATCAATGAATAAACAAACAAAATGCTCGCAAAAGAAGCCTCTTTCGTATAGGGTGTAAGCACTTTGTATACCATTACTCAATTAACACACAGGGTGAGTAAAAAATTAAGAATAAATCATGGTTCGAGTTATTCCACCACCATCAAGGAGGCTTTGAAAAAATTTTCACCTCTTAATTTTTTTTAAAGACAAATGCATTACCTACCAACAAATTGAAAAAAAAAAATAAAAATCGGCCTACTATTTTTTTTAAGAAAAGAATCATTAAAAATGAGATTGTTAACCACTACAGAATGATGCCATCGAAATTTTTGAATTCCGAGTTTGAATTTCGATTCAAAATAAGATGTACCAAATGTCATGATTTTTTGATAAACGGTTTCGAAAATTAGGAGGAAAAATCGTTTCAGGTTGCCCTATTTTGAGGGGCGTAGCACCATTAGGAAGCATTCTTCGACAAATATTAACAGGAAGTTGTTTTCAATAAAAAAACTCAGGAAACACCTCCTGAAATTGTATCAATGTGTAGGAAACACACTGTATATTAATTCATATAAATATTGGGATTCTGAAGCCCTTGACCCCCCTGACGCGAGGGCTGGATCCGCCAGTCATTCCACCCGTTGAAAGTCGAATGCACCAAATCGTCTTTCGTCGAAATGCACTATCAAACTCATTCTGATTGGTCTCAGAACGAATAAGGCTAACGGTCATGATAGAAATCCACCCATTATTTCCTAAAAGTGTGCACCAGAATTGACACCGATACCAGGAGGCTATTAAGTTCATCTTAATTGTGAAATTTAATCGAAAGAAAAGTAGTTTGTGATTCCTCAAATCAATTAATAGGTACCTAGGTATCTATCTATCTATTGATACATACTGATAGGGCCTCACTAAAAACGTTCATTGACATTTTATTCGAAAACATCAATAATCATCATTTAGACAGTCTTGAATTAATTTTGTGATATTTCATTAAAAATGTTTACACTGGCTGTTCACGAAAACAACAACCTACTTGTCTGTTACTTATCTCTGAACAGATTATTTCTCTTCTGCCTCTCGTATATGTTTATCTCTTGAAGGCGAATAAATAGCTGAAATCTCACAGAATTCGATCAGTTTCTACTTTGAAGTAATAAGGCGTTTATTATCTCTTATTCAATAAATTGTTCAATCAACGTCAAGTGCTTTCCATTTTGTACAAGTGTACAAAATAAATATTTCGAATCCATCGATATTCACCAAACTGTTACGAAAAGGAATTCATATTTCTTGTAAAACCAAATGGCTGATCCTGGTGAAGTTTTAAATATCCCCGCGCTGCAAAGTTGCACATCCTTGCCAAAACTCCAAGGATCCAAGGAAGTCGTCGTCGCGTTCTTGAAATACCCCCAATTTTGTGTGGACCAGATGAAAGAGCTGAACTTGTGCGCGCACGATCACAGCTTTGTACCCCCATGGTAAAGGGTCATCGAGCACGAAAAGTATTTTTGGGAAAAAAATATTAACCGCTCGGCTCTTTCGAAGGCTGATATTTCAGCTGCATAATATGGCACCATAGAATTGTTTCTTTTTGGGGAGTAGTTTTTCCCTTCATTGGGAAACATAAAAGACAGAGACTTTTTTAGTGGGTCAATTTTATTAATTCATAGTTTCTAAGTTTATTATCGAAATGCCTGTGTTAACTTTGCAGCGTTCCTACAAGTACATCATGTACGCAACCAAACAGCCATCTCTTAGGATAAAGCAAGCCGATTTGAAGTGTAAAAGTGGATGTGGGTTTTATGGAAATGCAGATTGGGATGGTATGTATAATTACCAATAACACCTGGGCCTTCATTCTGCTATTTTTATTAGCTCAGCCTGCTCAGATTATATATACACGACGCGACTATTAATCAGATATGTCTGAGAGCTAGACCGACCTTCTCATATATTATTGAAGATCCCTTCTTGAATCGACTGTCAGCTGGTCAAGTGCAACTGATGAATCTTGGAAGCCGAAACAGTCTGTTTTGCATCAGATGACAGTCGATTCACGAAATTCTCCTTGGATCTCTTAGCCTTGAGAACCTAGATTTATCTCTATCAATTACATTGAATACATTGTGTTTGTCAGATATTCAGTCAGGCTACTGAAAATAGTAGGGTAGGGCATCTGATTTCTCGTGAATTGCAAAAATCACGAAAAAACGTGGAATTTAAAGTGAAGGTGATCAACAGACAAACCATATTACAGAAAAAAAAATCATCAATCTAGGAAAAATTTGAATGGAAGTGTTAAATCCTTCATCAAAAGCAATACATTTTTCGACATTAATTTGATCAGTTTCACATGTTTTTCACTAGTGCCCCCACTAGATCAATAATATCTATTATACAAAGAAAAAAAGTAGTAGATTGTAGCTCCAGGTTGTGTTGTCTTCCGACGCGTAGCGGAGGGAGACTAAAAACCGTGAGCTAAAATGTTATATTTTTCCCGTGTATGATACACTATTTTTTTCTGTGACAGAAGAAAGAACGAATCAATATTGAGAAGATATCACATTATTTTGAAATCTGAAAATTATCGGCGTGAAATTTGAAGTTTTTAACAGGAAGGACACCTGCGTTGTCGGCATCTCTATCATTATTTTGAAGTAATCAAATATCTGATGTCATTTCTGTCAGTCTAATTCTGTGATTTTTTTCCAAAAATTGCGAATTTAGTGGTTCTTTAGTAATTTACGTAACCGCCAAGTCGAATGGAAAATTAAATCGGTATTATTGACTTATTTGTCGGAACTGTAGCACCACAAAAGTGTGACAAAAGCCATCAACAGTGTATATATATATGTGATATATATCCGGGAAAACAGTACTAACTTTTTTCCCGCGGGAAAAAAGTAATTCATGAAAAGTGACATTTTATAACCTGCCACAGAAAAAAAAATCTACAACTTTTTTCCCTTGCATTATAAATCATTTCTCGTTGCTTTCTACTCTGTATTTCCGAAAATAAAGATCGATATAGAATATTTTGGACTAAATGGGTGATGATAACATGAGACTATTTGAGGAATAAGATCTATTCAAAGTTGAAGCTGGATATTACATCTGATTATCAGAAAAAAATGAATCTTTCTAATGTATCAATTTAGAAACAAACGCATTTGATATGTACCTACCTACGTTCTTCGTCAATTTAGACCAATCCCGTGTTCCATAAACACAACTACACACTGTATGTTCTCAATTTGATTCTTCGCAAATGTTACTCTTCACACAATTCTAGTATTTCGACAAGTGTAGATGAGGAACAATGAGGGGAACAATAAACTATAATTTCTTCACAAACGATAAGATTTCCACAACATTCTTAAACACACAACATGTTTCGCTGACACTGTAGCTTCGTCAGGTGATATACGGGTACACACACACCTGACGAAGCTACAGTGTTAGCGAAACATGTTGTGTGTGAGAATTTTGTGGAAATCTTATCGTTTGTGAAGTTTTTACATTTGCCATGGATTTCCATCAAGTAACGGCCGAGTCAATTAAAAAAATATATATAATTTCAATGCATTCATGGAGAAGTATAATGCCATAACATCTTAAACCAAGATATACCTATTTATTATAATACCTATATTTCATCATTAACATTTTTGCTATCTGAGCACACTCATTGATATTATTTGTTGTTTGTATATAGATAGTTCTGAAATTGAAACCGTATATTAGGAATGTTTTCAAAATCTGATTTCAAGGTTTGATCTTCAGCTCCGCATTTAAAAAAATCCTAACTAATAAGTGCTCACTGCTCATTACAAATATGCATGTAGGTACAGCCTAATAGTCTACTCAATTCTAAGTAATTTAGTAGGTACCCACGCTTTATCAGAAAAATTTCTCCGATAGAAGATTGATGAGTAACCAATGTTATATACAGATGAAGATCACAGACGAACTTCAGTTATGATCGAGGTGTTTCTTTCCTTCTTTTCTACTCATATGGCGTTGCTTTCATATTGTCTATGAAAGGCGCCTCTGGGGGAATATAATGCCGACTTGATTTTTGTTTGGCTAGGCTACGCTTAGTCGGCGGTCTTAGGACTGCTGGCTGGAGACTGCCCTGCACTAATGATAGTCAAAGAGCTCGAAACCGGTCTGTAGGTGTCTAGCGTGGCCTGGTTAAATCGAAATCAATAGGCATTCAGGAAAGAATCACTTGTATCAGTATTCGTTTATACGAGTCGATGCATAGATTTCGGGAGAATGAAATTCAATGTTCTGCGTGGCATTATCCAGGAAAGTAGTTGTTTTTATCCCGAAATCTACCATTGTTGTTCATTTTATGAACATTGTGTGGATATGACTTTGATCTTTTTGTATTTATTGAACTGAAAAATACTTCCTGCATGGATTTTACTCTCACTAATTCATCCATTTACTAGAAATTTTCTAAAATTAATCACCTAGGTCAGCAGCTATCGGAAAAGAAGCAAAATTTGCTCACAACGATTATAAAACCGTATTCTGATAATGCTAAATTGGTTTGTTATCGCCTTTGGAGCGGCCTTAACAGCAAATGCTTCGCCCTTTGTAATGTTCGCAAACAGAGGCGAATTCTGCTTATTAACTTTTCAAATTAAACATTGGCATTTCTTATGAAACTATTCATAGTGAGTACCTTTTGTTATTTGAAATCAAGGAGTTGTATAGTAATTGATGCCACCGTGTTGACTTTTTTCCTGATCTAATGAAAATGGAATATATCTATCAGTACTATATTATTGTCAATTATTTCAGTTATGAATGTTGATACTTCATCACGCCATATCACGCTATATGATTTGATGACTTATACGAATTACAATTCCAGCAAATACACATATCAATCCCAAAATATCACGATAATGAAACTTTAATGACATCCATTAGCTTTACGTACTGTTTTTAGTTCACCATATGATTGGTGTTTGATAATGTTATTGTTATTCGAGATTAGAGTGCAAACATATTTATCAAAAATTCCAATTTTTCAGGATACTGTTCAAAATGTTACCGAAACCACATGGACCATGTGCGACAAAGAAAATCTCTTCAGAATCAAACACCAGAGAATTCAAAAACCCAAATGTCTGGATTTACGAAATTCGAAGAAAAGAAGAGGCAGCAAACTGATAAGAAAAATAAATACCTAAAGAGTTTACCAGTTTTCAGAAAATCATCTAATGTTAAAGGTACGTAATGCAAAAGTTAATGGTTTCCTCCAAATAAAAAAACTAGTTGAATGAAACAAGCACTTTGAGTTTCATCATCAATATAAAGTGACGTTTGTGTTCCTTCAGTATTATTATTAAATGTATTATCTAGTAGGTATTATCAAAAGAGAGTTAGAATAAATTGTTTATTTCATTGATGTTTCTGAGAACCAATAGAAACTATTTAAGTCATTTTTGAAAGTCTCAGTCAATCAAAATATGTTTGTAGTAGAAATAATCTACATTATCGCTAGAATAATCTGAGGTTTGTTTATTTGGTATAACTGTCATCAATCTGACATATTTTCCAGATTGTATTGTATTGTATGCATACGGTGTGAGTACATTGCTGTCTGAAAGATCTATTGTACCCCCTTCTTTTGCCATACCCGACAAAGTTGTTTTCTAGCAATTTCTCTAGTCCTATTATAGTCCTCAGAAATTTCAGGATATGAGGTAGTTCCAGGTTAGCTTCTTATTATGTGTGCTTCTAGATTTATTGCCCTCGGATTCTGTGGGGAGACACATTCCGTAAGTATGTGGATAGAGGTTTCCTTCCGTTCCCCACAGAACCTGAATGCATCTTGCTCTTCCGAGCCAGGCAATGCCCAGTTTTGTCGGATATCATCTACTTATTTTCAATTTTCCCTCTCATAATGTGGTATTACTACGGTCATGTTCCTATATTGCTGGCATTACTGGCCACAGTGAGAAATTTAGGAACACTAAACAGTAGCAGTAGCTTCGAATTTTCTTCTCATTTCGTAGATGTCCGAATGAATCGCTTTGGTGATACATACCGGGTGACACAGGGTATCGGGCCACCCCTGTAACTTCTGCATTCGTGAACGGACTTTTCTGAAATTTGGTACAGTTATATAAGCAATCATTTCGGATTTGATCACATTACAATCCAATATGGCGAACTTCAGGATCTTCTGGAAATGCCAGAAACTCTGTTTTTTCAAATGGAACACCCTGTATATTTTCCTATGTTCAAGTACAACAGGTCAGAACAAGTGCAATCTCAATGTAAAATTTATTTTTTTGGAAAATGTTTAAAATAAAATTGTTATTTTAATGGAGTTTCAACTGTAAGATTTTCTTCCTGTCCTATTATCTTCACTCTTCTTGAGATTTGGTTTGCATCCATGATTTGATACCTGTCTTTTGTATAGCTTTCCACCACAAACAGGTTCTGGACCAATCAGAGCTTTGTTTGCTCCTGCTCGAGCAAGTGAGTCTACCTCTTCATGGCCCTCGTATGTGCTGGTACCCATGCTATAGTCAGTCTCTTCTGACTGTCCAGTTCATTCAGAATTTCTGAGTAGTCCCATACTAGCTTTGAGTTAACTTGCATTGAGTTAACTGCTTTGATTGCCGCCTGGCTATCCGAATAGATTGCAATGGCATCCCTTTAAACTCTTACATTATCAATTCTTTTACGCAATAATGTATTGCAATAATTTCTACCTCAAACAACGTCGCGTATTTGCCTAAGCTCAGCGAGATTCTTGTCTTTGGCTTGGTCCCATAAATACCAGCTCTTGACCCTTCCTCTGTTTTGGAGCCGTCCGTAGAGACAGCAATGTTCCTGTTTTGATAGGAGGTCCTTCCTCCCATGCCTCTCTGTCCGTTATACTTATTTCAAAAGTTTTTTCAAAGCTATATTTTGGAATTAATGCTATCTGTTGGCATTCCCATGATGGGGTCGCCTACCAACTCTTCATATAGCTTCCTGTAGTCTTTACCGTGCGTGTTGCTCATAGGTGTTTGACTCTTAGGCAATCTACTCACGACTGCTCTGGCATCGCCTTGGAGGTATATTTGTAGTGGTGGCAAGTTTAAGGGGACCTCTAAAGCGGCTGTTGGAGTGGTCATCATTGCACCAATGGCGCTCAGGCAAGCTTGCCTTTGAATGGCACTGAGCCTTCGAATCACTCCAGCCTGTCGTGTCTTTGGCTACCAAACTACCGACCCATATGCTTTCTTGGGCCTAATGACACTGGCATAGAGCCATGTGGTCATTTTTGGTTGCAGTCCCCGATTTTGTCCGTACATTCGTCTGCACAGATTGAAGGCTACTGTACTTCTTTGAACAACTTTTTGTAGGTGTTGATTCCATGTTAACTTATGGTGAAAAATGCTTCATATGCTTCGTGAAATTGTCTAGCTAAATATCACCCTGTTCTGAATATCTTCTCATAATTATGTCTTCAATTGTTGACTCTATTGTGTTGCCGCATAGCGGTGGTGTTGGTCGGCAACACAATTTCGTGAACAATAAAGCGACAGAACTATCTCGAATATTCAGAACATCGTGATATTTCTGTTGATAATATACTTAAATTTCATTTACAACCATATATGTAATGTTGTCATTAATAAAGTCATTGAAGGTTGGGAAGTGCCACATTACATACCTCTACTTCCTGCCCTCACTTCCCGCCCGCACTTATGTAATATTTCAGGTATGTCCAGAACGTAACAGAGATATATTAATTTTGATCGAAATATGATGGTTGTAAATAAAATAGTATACAAACCCGGTAGAAAGTTTCATTCCTGACCTCGGTGTGTAATATACTATATCTTCGCCTCTTCAGATTCTGGTCGTCCTGAGAGATACGCTGACATCATGCGTCAATCCACCCCCGACACTGACAAACTCTTAGTAGAATTCATCTCGACGTACGGCGAATGGGGTGAGCTCGTTAGGAAGGACTTACTGAAGTGTGCTCAATCAATAGTGACAGAGATATTTTGTGGGTTGGACACGAAACCAATCGAAGATTTGGCCGAGATTGCACAGAATTATTATAACAAGTACGACAACCGTTTGCTCACAAATCCGGTCTACCAGGTTGTCCCTAGTGATGTTAAAGATCAGCTGTTGGATTTCTTTGAAAAATACAGTATGATGAGTCTCTACAGGTGAGTTACAGTGACATATTCAATTTCTATTGACTGCAGAATTGTAATGAATATGAATTCAATTTTTCCATTCAATCGTTGTTAAGATTTTTGGATATATGTGATAGAATACACATCCATGAAAGAATTATTCACCCTTTGTTATAAACTATCTAAGCTACAGGTTGCTTCGAATTCAAAGGAGTACATACAACAAGTGAATTATTGTTACAACACTCAACAGGAAATAAAGTAAAATAATTTTTTTTGTTAAAAATGAACTTTGTTTAACTTTCATCCTTTTATTGCAGTTGAAAACTTGTTTACCTCCAAATTATTTTTAAGTTCTAACGGTTTCAACCTCAAATCAATATTCATGGTTAGCATAGTAATATTTGGGGTATTCTCTCTGTTTGAGTTAATTATATAGATGCTTCATGAACATAATTAGTTTGATTGAGATGTTGTTGATGTTAACCAACTCAATTCAATTCAACAATTCAACATATGCTTTATTGCCATAAATACATTCGTATTTGTTGACAAAGCTCGTACATATACATATTTAAATGAAATACAATCCAAAGCTCCTATAAAGCCTTAGTTAAAAATTAAAAATGAAAAACAAAAAAGATAGACAATAATATCCAATATCGAAAAAAAAGCCATCATCCAACAGGCTTGTTTGGTTGGAGTAACACTAGTCACTAGTATATGAAAAGTCAGGAAATCATGTTCAGGGAACTCAAAAATACGTGTGTGCTGAAATTATAAATAAACTTTCACATCAACTGAGATAATATCCAAAAGTTTGCATGTATTTGGGTCATTCTTTATTTGGTCAGAAGAAACCTGAAAATGTAGGGAGTTTGAAATTACTTTTGAAAAAGTACAAGATTTACTGCCGTGGCTGGCGTTTCATAGCCAAGATTGAGCCAAGAAATGGAATCTTATTGAGAAGGAATATTCTCAGATATATTATGAACATGACAAAAATTGATACATTCAAAGAAATAAATCGAGAATTCGCATTCTCTATGTGATGAAATATTAATTCCTTCTCGGTGAATTCAACGAAAAACAACTACTTTGTATTTGTATTTATTTATAGTGTGACTACATTGTGAAATGTTTACACTCGTCTTTATATATATATAAAACGTTAGATAATAAATAGATAAATGAAAAAAGTAATAAAGGAAATAGAATAAATAACAATAAACATGATCACATTGGTCAAACAAACATATACACTTAGTTCTATAAATATCACATTTCAGTATTGTTAACTAGAAGTTTTATGAATCTATATCATGTCATGTGTCAAAAAGGCTGTGAATTCCTGAATAAAGTAGAAACATTTTCTTATCAGATATTTTTTTAATTTACATTTGAAGGGCATTCAATTCAATTTCTTCATATCATCAGGTAATTTGTTGAAAGAACTCGGACCATAGAAATTGAAACCTTGTTGAGATTTCTGAAGTCTATTTGTAGCAATGACAATATGATTGTTATTTTTCGTATTGTGAGAATGGATATCAGAATTTTGTTTGTATTCAGTCAAGTGTTCGTTCACATAAACCAGGCATTGATAAATGTACATACTACGCAAACTAAGAAAATTTTATTCAATATATGCCACTACGAACATTGAATAATCTCTATTGAAAACACGATAAGAATTTGAAAATAAGATCTGGCTGGCTTCCAAAACCTCATGTCCCGTAAGTGTTTTAGTAATCGATATTAATCGATCGTGTGGTCGTGTAAAGAATAAAGATGTCTAGTAAATTAGTCTGTGGCAAATGTTCGAAAAACATTGGAAAAACTAGTTATAAAATAGGTTGTGCTGGACCTTGCAAACAGTGGTATCACCGAGAATGTAGTGGACTGTCTGAAATTGAAACTGACGAACTTACAAAGGGAAAATTTGTGTTTTTATGCAGCACGTGTAAAGTACCATCACCACAAATGGAAGACGACCTTGACACGGCTTTTTACGATGCCATGGAAAATATAAATAGCGAGAAGAAAGTGGACGTAAATATTTTTAGTTACATTATAAAACAAAAGGATATCATCATTAGCGAGCTGAAAGATAAAATCAAGATCTTGAATAATCACATAGAATTATTGAACCAGATCCAGAAGGAAAAAATAGTACAGCAACATGACTGCAAAAAAGTAATCAGTGATGAAAAAAAACATCCTAATGAGAATGTCCCACTGATAAACAACAAAAAATCGGTTGCTACAAAAACCGGTAGTGTTCCGTCTACCTCGAAAATAAACTGTAATGACACTGTTGCCACTGCAGCTAAAATAACAGGTAGCTCAGTAATTTCTGAAAAACAGGTATCAAACGCAATTTTGCAAGCGAAAACAAACCAGATCTGTAGCAGTTATATTGAACTGGGTAAACGCAATCAAGAGAATGAAGAAAAAGTTATTCATACTGAAAAGTGGAATCTAGTATCAAACCCAAGAAGGAAGAGGAATATTGTTGTAGGAAACAATGAAACCATTAAAGTTAATGGCAAAGAAGTCATGGGGGTGCCTATGTTTACTACTCTCCATGTGTTCAGAGTGGACCCAAACTTAACTGCCAATGATTTGACACATATGATGAAAGTTCATTTCCCAGAAGTGAAAACTGAAAAAATATCATCAAAACATCCAGAGTTGTATTCGTCCTTCAAAGTCGATGTTTACAAGAAGAATTATGAAAATGCAATGGATCCGTCTAAATGGCCAATCGGCGCACATGTCCAACGTTTTTTATACCTACAGCGGAGGAAGGAAACTGCCAAGATATAGAACGGGAAAAAACGGGTGATGATCTTAATATTGGAAACATCACAAATTTTAATTATATAAATTGTAATAACTTATGTAACCCCAACATGGTGAGTGTATTCCATATTAATATTCAATGCATATCAAATAAACTTGAACAGATAGAACTGTATCTAGATAAGTTGAAGTTTGATGCAATCTGTTTTTCTGAACACTGGCAACGTGAAATTGACCTGTCAGCGATGAATATACCAGGTTATACTTTGGCAAGCTCCTTTTGTAGGAAAATCAGGGAACATGGAGGTGTTGCCTTATTTTTGAAAACTAGTATTTCACACAAACCGTTAGACTTAAGTAAATTTACTGTTGAGTTTCACGCTGAGTTCTGTGGAGTAAAGCTTACAAATAAAATAATTATCATTGCGATTTATAGATCTTGTTCAGGTGACATTGAAATTTTCTTAGAGCAACTAGAAATGTTGATATCTTTTTTGAATTTTCATATTAATTTCAATGTTTTATAGATGATAATTTACTATTTTCTGATGGTTCAATTATACTAGAATGTAATTCGATTTTGTTTATTTGAAGAATGCATCACAAGTGGTAGTAGTCCGTAAATGTTGATACTTATATGTTAACATATGGTAATTTTGTATGTAAGGGGGATGAGATGCACGTATAACATTGAGGCAGCTAATTCAAATTGGGAAGTACGTATACTACAATAGAGTTCCTGATGAAGAGCCAATAAAAACTCGAAAAATCTAACATTGAGAATTGACATTCTCTTTCAAATCGGATAAATAATATGATGTATAATGATATAAAAAATATAACTTACCAATATATTCAATTCAGGATTTTTTTCCACGCCCGGTATGATCAATATCAATTTGTCATACATCTAAACAAAAGCAATGTCCAAATAATCCTTCATTTTGTGTTCACCTAATGTCATTGTCAATTTTGATTAATTAATTTGATTCAAATTATTACTTGGAACGTTGCATAGCAAAAATCTTATTCTGCCTAGGCAGTAAAAGTATACCTTTTCTGCCTGTTAATTTTCATCAAAAAGCCACTTTTAATGTCATTTTGAGAAAAATAACTATTGTCTGATTGGTTTATACCTACTCATTTTTTTATACTAGTTATCTGCATGAGTCACTGTTATAATTCCTCATTTCTTGAAATTTGTTTTTTGGCGACTATGATTTAACAATTAAGGCACACAAAATCGTTCATCAATAACCCCTGGCGATTCTTGACTTCTCTATCTATACCTTTTATTTACACTGAATATCAATAATCAATCTTGATTAAAAATACATCTTTCAATATAATGATCTAGAAATCTATATATCGTTTACTAATGCTTGTAAGTTATAATAACTGTCTCAATCATTAATGGTGCTCATTCACTCGTTGGTTGAACAACTTTATTTCAAATATACATCACCTTTCATCGAGTTAAAATAAACTATTTGCCAGAAAAAAAAACGAAGCATTTAGTGAATAGTACAAGCTATCTGATCCCATTAGGAAAAGAAAGGAAGGATATAGATAATTCATTCTAATAAGTGTCATGTTCTATGTATTTACATATTGAAGGTGATTCCTAGAAAATTAATATTCAAATTAAAAACTTCTGTCTTGTAGAATGAATACACACAGGTTGTTCGATTAACAATTGTGTGATCTTCATATCACACATTCTGAAATACAATTAACTAATCTGAATTATATGTTACAGTTTCTGAATTTCATTTCACCAATTTGAATAACATTCAATGTTTCCTGATTTACAATTTTTTATTCTGAAATATACTTCCTGAAATAAATTTTATAATTTCTGGATGAGAGAAAAAGTTGTAGTTTCATGATACCGCCATATTTCTCCTTGATTAAAAATATTTTTGTGCCAGCAGTTTTGTTTTGCTTTGTAATCTGACCAATCACAAGACAGAGACGACTTGTGAAAACACTAGCGATCATTCAATTCTGATTATCTGTGAGTATGGCATCAAATAAGTATAGCTGTAGTTGTCTTAATAAACCGCCCATGCTTTTTATGCTTCGAGAACGTGAAATAGTCTAGCAAAATACCACTCTGTTCTGAATATCTTCTCATAAATCTGTCTTTCATTGTTAACCCTTAACCACTGAGGTGGAGTCTCTCAAACTCCGCGAAACCTTCAACTCTTGATCCCACCCCCATCTTTTAATTCCTCACTCCACCGCCTCTAGTGCCTTCTGACCTCAGGTCAGTCTAGCTGTGCACGTAAGCGCAGCCGCATGGTCTAATTGCATAATTTGTTATCAGCAGTTGAAGTAGACTCGCAGATTCCACCTCAGTCAGTACGTAACTTTTTTCATTATTTTCACTTCTCACTAATAATGAATTTCATAGGATAAAAACAGAATAGGAATGATTTCCCAGCGTGACACTCACCTACAAACAATCCCTTTGATAATAACTTTGCAGAACTTTGGATTGGTTGGCTTGATGAACTTTACAACGATCTAAGTGAAACTGGTCATTCTCGTTCGTGATGAGGAAATGGCCTTGAAAATACACGGTTTTGTTTCCTCTGTTCATCCAGGTTACACAGGAAGACAAAATACCTATCTAAGCACTCACTGCAGGTAGCAAATCTGTCTTGGATATTCCTGAAAAATCTTTGCAACCTGTGTCGAACTAGGGGAATTAGAATAACCGCTTGCACACATTTTTCCTCTAACAAGTTTTTCTTGTTTTCACGTTTTTACTTTTTTCAACCTCTAGTACCTTACGCTACTCAGATTGCAATTATTTCAATATTCATACCTTGATAAAAACTATATGATAGTCGGAGTCTGTATGACTCCACCTCAGTAGTTTAAGAAAAATAATGACCTCAGAGGTTATGGTTTTACTCAATTGTGTTCCTGAAGGACACGTGTTGTTACTCGGCAACACAATTTCGTGAACAATGAAGCGACATAATTATCTCCAATATCCAGAACATCGTGCGTAATATTACTTATGATAATTTCTCCTTCTATTTTCAGATTCCTTTTTTGTCCTCCTTTCACAAATGATGAGGATAAAGATCTCGCAATCCAAGGACGAATTCGAAAACTGAGTTGGGTCAACGCGCATCACCTCGACTGTTGCATTAGTGAAACATCCATTGAAGTCAGAGGTAATTATTAGTTATTATCACAACATAAAATGGTGTTATATGTGGAATAAATTCGAGATACCAAGAAACTTCAAAAAATTTAGATGAAGATAATTTTTGGAGTTTCTTTTTCCTTGAATAGTCTAAAATGTACAAAAGTACACATATAATGTGGATGAAATTACCTGTGCAGAGATATCTTTTCATTCCACCCATTGGCTAAATAGAAGAATTTGTGTTCGTTTGACCCAGTATACATAAATTCAAAATGTATTGAAAAGGAATATTCTCAGATCCAATTATGAACATAAAAAATATTGATATATTTATGAAGAAATACATTGAGAATTCGCATTCTCTATGCGATGAAAATATCAATTCTTTCTCGGTCTATTCAACAGAAAACAACTACTTTCCTGGCTATATGCCACGACGAACATTACATCTATTGAATATACACGATAAGAATTTGAAAACAAAATCTTTTGAAGAAGAGAAAGTGTCTTGAACAATCTGCAGTAAAGTCTCAATGGATGGTGGTGACTCGAAGGTAGTGTTCAGTCATTCAAATGTACTTTTTTCGAGTTTCCCGTACGTCTTGAAATGTATTGGTCTTATCAATATTAAATAATAATAGTAATATGTTATAATAAACGGACGCCTGTTTTGTTTCCATGGCATTCGGTTGTGTCCACGGTCATCTAAATGCTATCGGCAATTTTGATTCAATATTATGAAAGTCATGGAAACCATCCATCCTTCTCAAAGTGGTCCAGATTTTTTCAAAGGAAAAACCAAATTACACCAAGTCGGTCGACCACAAAATTATATTACACAATTACTAGTGTGACTAGTTTCGGCTAACAGCATATTTGGTTTATTATGCCAAATAGTTTTCTGTACCTTACGATGATTCTGTCATGTTATTTAGTTTGTATAATTTGTCACTGTCATTCAGTCTTGTCATGCTGTCACTGTCATTTGCTTACTTCGGCGATTCCTGGATTTCTGTCTTTCAATAGCCATCCAAGATGAAACTCAGTTGAGTGAATTTATATAGATAATTTTTTCGTGCCAGTGTTGAACCTCATGATTATAAGGTTCTTTTGGCTGTTCAGCCGTTATAAAAATTTAATCACTCCCTTACCGGACTGATTTTTACGTTGAAATAACCGCTTGATTTTTTATTTTTATTGAATTTGTAATCACCACATGGCCTAGGTTTGTTTTTTTCCTCAGCAAACTTATTGTTCGTCTGTAATTTCATTTCTTACAGGTACTTTATTCAATTTGTGTCTGAAGATGACTGTTTAGCCGAAACTAGTCACACTAGTAATTGTGTAATATAATTTTGTGGTCGACCGACTTGGTGTAATTTGGTTTTTCCTTTGAATATTATGAAAGCTTAATAGTGAAAAACGGTCGAAGGGAACATTACCAAACTATACAGGGTGTCCCATAAGTCATGGATCAAAAGGGGGCATTCTGAATCAAAGAAACGGTATATATGGTTATCAAAATGTTGATGGTTCAATATGTTCACAAGATATAATCCAATGTTTGTCGTAGCATATAGCCAGGAAAGTTTTCTCTCGAGTGAACCTATAAAGCAATGATATTTTCATCACATAGAGAATTCAGAAAAAATAATTCAAGTATTCACTCGCAGCATATATGATTTGGTCACTTAGAACTTCATGCACGTGTTATGTGGACTCCTTTAAATTGATGTTAAACGGTCGATAGGATGTAAAACATTTAGATTCATGGTAATTCAATTGCGTTCAGCTTGAAACTCAAATTTGTTCAATTTTCAAATATAAACATAAGACAGTCATAAATATACACAGCATCAAATTCCATTGTATTCATTATAAGAGTATTTATTTTTTCAATAATAAAAATCTTCTGTATATCGGCGTTGCTTCCCCCAAAATATTATGTCATCTAGCGACTGATTCGAAAGTTGCATAATTTCAATTCTTCATGATCACATATACATAATTATACAGATCATTGAATTTAGAATAGGTATTCATGAAGGTAATCAGTCTAAAATAAACAGGATCAAAATTATTTAAAGTATAAACGTTATTCATCAAAATATATGGGTTACATACCATCATAGGTGTAAGTACATTCATGGCAGTTCCAAAATGAGTAAGGTACACATTCCTTGAAACTCGTCAGTACAATAAAACTATTCGAATCTGCTTAGACTTTATATTACCAAAGGTATTTCTGAATTCTTTGTAGAATATTATTTGTTGATAATCATGTGTTTCTATTGACTGCAATGCGACTTTTGCATCTGATTGGGACCTGATTGTCATCAAATATTATCAAAAATCAGGTTATGTTAGCTAGAGTTCCTAAATGTACTTGACACTGCTGTTTTGACGTTTTTGTATATTAGAGTACGGACACTATGACAAGCACTGACAATCAGACATAACCACAAATAAATTGATGGAAAAGCGGGAACTGACAGTACACGGACGTACATGACATAAATTTCAAAGGTTTGACAAATTGTCGTTGTCAACCTCGAAAGATGTCGAACAGCACTTTATCAAAACTCCTTCATCCATAGAACGGCTAGGCTCTGGAATTCATTGCCTGAGGAAGTATTCCCAACAACATATAATCTCCAGAAGTTCAAAAAAAATTCCAATACCTACCTCCTGTCCCTATCCTCCCTAGGAACGCACGATTTCCTTTCGTGCGCTCCAAGCGATAAAAAAAATTTAGGAGAAATATGCAGTTTCCAACTGTGAGAACACGGGAAATCAACTCACTCTATTCGAATTTCCATCGGATAACGTAATTCTACAAAAATGGAAACAGAATATGATGCGGCCGGCATGGAATATAGGTTCTGGCCGCAAAATTTGCGAGGTAATCAAATTTCTTGGTAGGATATAGAACATTTTCTACGCATTTTTATCAAGTATACTTCAGAACGGAAGATTTGATGTTGAAGAAAAGGATCTTATTGAGAGAAAGAGCCCACAATTTATAAACTGAGCGCGAGTATCGAGAAAAACCTCATTCCAATTTAGAACCAACAAGAAACGAAATACTTGCAGATCATGAAATTGATTTCAAACATATTTTGAAAGAAAAAGACTTGAGATTCGAATTTTTAGAGCAGGAATATTCAACCAAGAATTCTTTAGATCAACTTCGTATACGAACTCTTATAATAATTTTGTGGAAACATATAGTCACTTTGTGGAACTCTGATGTACCAGATATTGATGTATCTATAATTTCGATGAAATTTATCAGTTTTTACCCCATTTTGAACTTTTGTGATAAAAAAAATTCAACTGAACGTATATATTATATACCTACATATAAGAAACTTATTTCATAGGAATAGTATATGTATTTCGTCAGTATATATGTACATACCAACTTGATATCGACCTCCATTGAAGTCCTCCAGCCTCATCATTCAATATTTCGGGAAGAAATAATTTTCTAATCAATTTATCGTACCCTTTTACCCACTCTAGGAGACGCTATGCACTCTCATACAAAAATCAAAGACAGAGAAAGATATATGGATGCACTCTTTCCAGGACTTGTGGAGGAAGGAAGATGCGAGGATCCTTCATCCAAGCGAAAAACATATTCTTGTCCCTGTCTGGTAAAACATATGATTTGCTTCAAAATCGTTTGTGGTTATGTTTGATTGCCTGCTTGTCTAGTGTCCGTACTCTAATATACAAAACAGCAGTGTTAATTACATTTAGGAACTCTGATGTTAGCTTACTGAGAATGAAGTTTATCCACATGCATCAAGGATAAATGAACTGATCTGTCCGCTCCTTTAATATACTTTTATACAGGGTGTCCGGAAAGGTATATCATTTACGACATGACCTTTCCAGGCACACTGTATTTTTCAAACTCCAAAAGTACCTACCTACTGTTCTTTTTAGATCTAGTTTATTCTGCTATTAATGATCTTTTGGGCATGGACTCAATGAAAACACCACAAGAAAAACTCACTTGTGTTGTAAAATGCTGCCAAAGTGTTGTCAAAGTCCTCCAGCATTGCCAAGGAGGTCCTGTGAGCGCTGATGAATTCTTACCTGCGTTGATTTTCGTTGTCTTGAAAGCAAATCCGGCCAGACTAAAGAGCAACATTTTGTACGTGACGAGATTTTGTAATGATACGAGGCTGATGCAAGGAGAAGCTGGCTATTATTTTACAAATTTGGTGAGTTTCAAATCTGTGGTATGTTGATCAGATCGCCTGTAAACAAAATAGTGCATGATAATCAATGAGCCTCTTTTAGTCAAAACTTTTATTTAATTTTTTCGAAGTACTAACTCTTACTAGAGTTCCCTGTCGCAAACCTTTTTTTTTTCAGAGCTTTGTACACATTTTAAATGATTATTGAAATTCACGATATTTCGTAGCATAAAAAACGCGGGGAAACGCATGACGTAATCATTCGAAAAAATTCGACATACGTATCTATTCTCTTTGTCCGTAACACGAGTGCAAGAATATTTATAATGGGCGTATATCACAAAAAAAATGAGGTTTCTACGTCATAAGAGGGTCCGTTTTCAGAAGGTACTATTATTTATGTCTAAAAATAAATCATTCCAGTTAATTTTTCGATCGAATTATGTCGTCAATCATTATTTATGTATAAAAGGATCATTATAAATGGTTTGAGTTGAAAGTTCTACTAAGGTGTACACGCCCATTGCCATTTCAATCAGAATATGAAAAAAGTTCGCCTCCTCAGAAGGTGCTCGCCCTAGACTCTAGTGAATTCTCTGGACTGGATACTTACTGCAAATAACAGAGATCACAACACAAAACTGAAGAATCAGATAATAAGACGAATCTTTAAATATTCGCATCTTGACTAGATGAAACAAGGATTTGAAGATGAAGGTGACGTTAGGAAGTTAGGTTGATAATGTAGTTCGTCTTCTTCTTCTCTTCTTGTATTTCTGGGAACTTTAGGCATTATACTGCTGCCAATGCCACAAAATAATTAGGGTTTGAATAAAATCTCGATCATTATTAGGAATACTGGGATATGGAATACGGACATGTTATTCTAAATAATCCTGCGGAACTTGGAAGTGGCGGAGAGAAGCTGTCTAAGAACTATTACCAAAATAAGGCACCCTGCAAATCCTCTTCACAACCCTTCCAACATTCTCCTATACCAAAAAACTAAAATAGAACCTATCCTCACCCGAATCACCAGACTGACCAAAAAATTTGCGAACAAACAAGAAAACATCACCCTTATACAGCCCCTCATTTACCAAACCAATCACCTTACTCCCATCAAACGCAAATTTCCTGAATTTAGCCTATATAATTCACTCTCCAGACAAAACAGATAGAATAATAATGTTTTTTTTTTATTTTTTATAATTCACCTTGTAAAAATCACTGCATTTGAAATACATAAAATGATTTAGTATATACTGGCAGGAAGACTTTGGTCGTTAGCCATTTGGCATAATGTATTTTTTATTTTATGTCCAATAAAGTTTATTTTCTTCTTTCTTCTTCTTCTTATTTGTACTGAAGCATCTGGCAAAGATAATAAGTATTCAATAAGTAATTATTAGAAACCAGGTGGAACTATTGTCTTCTGCGAATGTGAATACTATTGTCACTGGTCATATCACATCTCATGAGGTAATTACTAGTTGCAAATCTGGCAGCGTCGAAATATGTAGTCCTAATTTTTATGCGAAAGCCGGGATTCAGATAACGATGACTTTCGGTTCGGTTCATGACGTCATCGAACCTGACTTTCTCCAGGGTGCCAAATTTCATTATTGAAGAAAAAAACTTTCAGATGATTTTAAATAACGAATGATTGCATTAAATACTATTTATACATGTAATGATCAATATGAAATAGGTTTGTGGCGTAAATTCGACTAGTGTGTACAACCCCATTATTACTAGATCAATAAACTAACAATCACCTCAATAATTCTTTGAAAATAATCAAATGCGGTAATCTTTAGAAAGCGGCAATAGCACTTTGTTATCAACAAGATTTTCCCTAAAAATTCTGGCTTGCCAGAGATTGACTTCAAACCAGCTGCTTGGTAGCTGCGGTTGAGGCCCCTATGCTATATGACTATTTTACTTATAATTTCAAATTACACTGTTCTCGAATCAAAAAACAAAGATAACTGCTTTTTGGATTACAAAGAGTTGAAATTCACCTTGATGACTATAGAGTCTTTAATTTTTCTTTTAAATAAGCAGTACACATTTTCTGGATATTTGGAATGACTTATAATTCATATTATTTTTATCCTTGACTTTTTCACACTTCCTGCATCACCAAGAAATGTGTTTCATCTGCGATAGAAAAATAAGCAATAGACATCTATCAGATGTTTTGAAAGCTGGCAAAGCAGTCTGTTTTGGTTCACATTTGTTTTCGTTTGAGCTTATTGGTCACATATTTCCATCAAAACAAACCACTCTGAAGTGTTCAAGTTATTTTCTATCGCGAATAGTTCACTGACAGTATTTTTCGTCATGAAAAAATTGGTTAGTGGCAAATTCTATTCGTTTTGTTGTAATTTTGAAGCGTCAAAGCCTACTTTGTTAGTCGGTTGTTGAAAAAGTTCTTTAGCGTTTAAAAAAATATAACTTCGTTTCTCAATAGAGTCAACCTGTGGTAGATTATTCTTTTCTGCTGATGATTATTCAAAAACTTCACAGTAGACCAACAATTTGATCTTTATTTTCAAAAATATCATGCATCATCAGTAAGTTATAGCCGTTTTGAGTATTATTCGACTCCACCGTTTTTCTTTGTATTTTCTAATTATGGGTTTTGCCATTGAATTACTAAATATATGCCCTTTCATAAAGGCACATGGCCCTTCACAATAACTTGATCCTTTAACCGGTGCTTTGCAAAAAACATATTAATCAAGCTGTTATTTTGAAATTCGTAAAAATGGTAGAACAGAATTTACCGAAACTGGTAAAGGTAAAGGTGCGTTACATGTTGAAATCAACAACATATTTTAAAACGATGTTATTTCATATTATCATAATAGTAGATTCTTCTCCGTTTAGCCGACATTGGTTGATCTCAAAATAGATTGATATTGGTTTGTTTAATGTAAGTTTTATGTAAATAAGCGCTGTCCTTTCAGTACTCTACAGGATCCGACACCAAATCACTTTGAAATACTCAAAATGTATATATTTTTTCTTGATTTATTCAAAATTACAATACTTGATTCCAGTTATAAAGCCAATCAAAATCAATAATCATCATCATCATCATCTTTATTATTCCCAAGAAACAATTGACATATATGTTTATAACAGAGAACATTAAAAAATAAACCATAATGTATTACATTACATTCAAAATATAGTATTTTTAGGTATAATATAATTATTCTAGTAATTCTCATAGTTCGAACTGATCCTTGTTTGAGTGAATGAATGATTAAAATAATTGATATGTTATATGATCTCAATATGGATGACATGACAAAATTCCTAATTGATTAATGTTGTATCATCCGCAAACATATATATATTCCCTTTCAATCTGAGGTTGGCAATTGAGTTGATATATATCAGAAATAATACCGGACCTAATATCGATCCTTGAGGGACCCCACATATTATTTCTTCGGTTCTACTTGAATCTTGCTCCAAATAAACAAATTGTTTTCTTCCGCTGAAATAATTTTGAAACCACCTATAAACAGAGCCTCTGATTCCAATACGAAATAATAGTTTCAGAAGAATTTCATGATTGACAGTATCAAATGCCTTGCGCAAGTCAAGTGACATAAGTCCACACATTTTATTAGCATCAAGTTGCATTTGGAACAACATCCAAAACAGCTGATTCTGTGTCAGATGACCTACGAAAGCCATATTGATGAGTATAGAGATATTTCGTTACCTCTAAAAAATCGTGTAATCTATTATTCATAGTTTTCTTCGAAATTTTTGAAAGAATTGGTAGCAAAGAAATCGGTCTGTAGTTTTTTATGTCATCCTTCTGTCCACATTTGTATATAGGTTTAACTTTTGCAATTTTAATTTTTTCTGGTATAATACAAAGTTATTGAATGTATATACAAACTAGATTACTTGGAACCAACAAGAAATCTTAATAAACCTAGGAAATTGTTAGATATTGACTCAAAATATTAAATTTCATCCATTCCGTCAAATATAATTATAAACATTCAAATCTGAATTTTGAAGTCAATAGTCATAAACACGAACACATAACCAGACAAAAAGATATGTTAACTCTCATCAAATATGATATGGGTAAATGATCTATTTTATACAATGGAACAATCCTCTATAACGAATTACCTGCCAGACTGAAGAAAAGATTAAATGTTGAGAAATTAAGAAAATAACTGAAGAAATACTTATGTCTTTGATTCCCTTATATCATCCAAATCAATTCTAGAACTTATATTCAACAGAAGTTTCTAGAAGAAACAACATTATATGTACTATGTATGTGATTAAAAAATGATTATCTAATCCTATTTTATTTTTTGTTGCTCTTTCATAATTTTGCGTGCTATAAAAATATATGTACCTTGGGAATAATAAAGATTATTATTATTATTATGTTCATTATTCACCTTATTGAAAATTAAATTGTTGCAACCCAAAATCCTGACAGTCAATTCGAAATGTTTGAATTTGAACAGAGTTATCATTTTACTTGTGGCACAGTTTTTTTTTGCACATCTATGTCTCACTCTCGGATTTTCATGACAACCCTATGCATTTATCGAAAAAAAATTTTTTTTTCAAAATATCACCCGATCTTCTACACATTCTCAAGGGACGCTCTGTAAATGATTATGAATATGTTTTAGTGCTGTGCAGTATCCTTCATCGAGAACCTAACTGCAGAATCCCTGAATATGCCTGCCCAAGAGTTTGAGGCATACATGTCCGGTGAACTGACTTGCGTCAGTGCTTGGGAATCGGCTTTGGTGGCTTGCGAAGGGATGCACCAACTTTGTGAGCATCTTGCACTCCTCAAAGGGCTTTCAGAAAGGACAGATACTGTCAAAGATGACACACAAAAGCTGATGGAAGATATGCAAAAGTTGAAGGTATAGTTGGTAATTTATGAATATATTCAAACTGGTTTTATTTCATAGGGATTTTGGATGTTAAATTAATTTTTGTCTCTGCAGCTTTTTTCACATTCCATAATGTGCTAGATCATTTTTAATATTTCATGAACACCTACTATTTTGGTTGATGTAAAGGTAATAATTTTAAATTTGTTAATCTAACAGAATCTTCCTCTAATTTCTGAAAGTCAAGTTTATTTCTGGAGAGTTCATGCTTACCTATGTTGTAATTTTAAGAATTATTCCACTGTGTTCAAACAATCATTCTATGTGATCATTTCTACATTCTGATAATAAATATTTCGAAACATAGTGTTATGCCTCTGATACCCTTATTTCATCCACACAAATAATATGAGTGGCAATTATATGTGATAATAATTTATTAGTATATACTAATATACAGACATTCTCCAGAATTTAGCAAATAATTTGTTGAATATGCTCGTTTGGATCTGATTAAGCAACTTATCTTGCAAGATATAGTAAATGTGAATGTCCAACCATTTCATAAGATGCTAAAATTCACCGAAGACGTAACATGAATAACCTCACAAGAAGGAACTCATGATCTGAGATGAGAATTCTTGGAATAAAAATATTACATTACTTCATAGCATTTTTTGAAAAAAAATATAATATTGTGATGAGTCAAATACCTCCTTGAACTGTATAATTTTTGCAAAATTTCAGGCTGTACCTATTAATGCTACTCAAGTTATATAATATAGGTAATACAGGTATACGTAGGTGAATATAGCTAGTTGATTTTTCAAATCATATTTTGATTGAATATCATCAGTTGAATCTGTTGAAAAATCTTGACCAATTATGTGCCCATCAGAGGATTTCTCAGAAATATGAAATCTGGATTACTCAGAATTCTTGATATACAAATATCTAAAAAATATTAACTTGCATAGCCATAGCCAAGTCAGTTTCATCTTGAATATTGTACATACATACATTGAAGCTATCCATTGACATCGATTCCAATAACTTGGTAAGAAAACACGTGATTGAATAGTTGTTTATATAAGTTTCCTTGTCTGAAAAGAAAAATTTGACATTAAAATCAAAATAACATAAAAATTGAATGTAAAAAATCAATGAAATGCAATTGAAATGAGATGAAAAAAGTTGAAAATACCATCAGCTACGGACAATATGTGTGTTAGATCAATCTATTGACTATTCATAAGTCGCGTTCGGTATTTACATCAGACTGCTCCGATGAATCTGAATCGTTCGTTTATGACATCTAGATGTAGGGGAAGTAGATCTCATCCGTTCGGCAATTAAAATCGGAGCGATCTGAGAAAGATCTTAATGCTCGGGAGTATTTTGTCAGAGCAAAGCGATTGATCTGAATTTGTGAGGTTAATGTTCAAATGTTTATGTATGACTGGCCCTTGTGCTCGTATTCGTATTTTCAAAATAACGTTTTCATAATGAAAGAAATACAACTTTTTGATTCTGAACAAGACAAAACACACACCTTAATGGTGTCAGATGAGAATTATAAAGAAGTTGTCACAAATGATAGTAAGTGAACACATTTAATTAATGTGTTTAGATGATAAATTCAATATTATTTTTTCTATATTTTTCCTTATAGATTTCACTCTGGCTGCGATTCTTTTGGAAAAAGAACAAGAGAAAGAAGATTTCTGGTATACTCATTGAAATGAAAATGAATGAAATAAATGAATGGGCTTAGGTTAGGTTACCGTCACACTGTCAACAAAATGTCTACTTCGTTCGTTTATTGCCGATTGCTCCGATCTATCTGTGACCACGTGGCTAGAATCTGCTCTAATCTGCGATGTAAATACCGAACGTGACTATAGCAGTATTGAAGGTGTGTTTCATTATGAGGAAATTGAATTCATCAATACAGTCGATTTATATAATCATTGCCTACAAAAAATTGCACTATTCCAATGACAAAGAATAATTGGCAACTCTTGTGATATCGATGAACCGAGTGGTATTCTGCTCTCTCAACTGAAAACATCTCAATGTCACTGATGAGGACTGATTCATAAACAAAATGTCCGAAACACTGGAGTTAGACAAAAAGGTAATAATAACCAAGAAGAAACCAGTACAAGGGCAACCAATTGTTCACAGTATATTGTTGCTACTAAATATACAACCACTCCACTAATTCAGGACAGAATAATATTTCGTCATGTTCCAAAATTTGCAGATTACGATAATTCATTGAATGAAATTATTAAATGATGTAGTGCGGCGTTCATCTACAAGTATAACAACATAAAATATCCAACAGTGCAATAACAAATGAGAAATCATCTCTAGAAGAATAAGCTAGGACCACAGACTTCTTCGGGACTCCAATAAAATGAGAATTATGAAAACACTATTGTACCTACATGAGATATAGAGGGTGTTTCATAAACATTGGTAAAAAATACGTTGACCACCCTTGAGGTATTTTTATGAAAATAAAGTCTTATAATTATTTGTCCAAACAAGCTTCCAAAGAGAGCTATGCCCCTTGAAATGGAGCATTCAAGAATCAGAAAATTTCGTATGTCACATAAATTTTGTATGATGTATTAGAATTTGAGCTCAAAATTTGAATCAGTGGCGTATCGTACTGAAAGGGTGAATGGTAAAAATAATACCATACATTCTTTGTATTCAATTCAGATTTCAGATCCCTACCTGTAGTTTTTTCACGTAAAAAAAGATACTCGTAGTTCATATATGTATAGGGCGAGTGCAACATTTTCGATGATTTTATTTTCAAATTCTTATTGTGTGTGTTCAATAGATATAATTCGATGTTCGTCGTGGCATATACCCAGGAGAGCAGTTGTTTTCAGTTGAATATACCGAGAAACAATCACTATTTTCATCACATAGAGAATGCGAATTCCAAATGTTTTTGTTTATATGTATAAATATTTTTCATGGTCATAATATAACTGAAAATATTTTTTGTCGATACAATGCACTGCCTTTTTTTTGTCACCAAATTAGAATCTGAGCTCAGAATTTTACATTTCCATGAGGCGTACGATACAGTGTGGTCATTTAAGTGTACAACATATGGAAATCTTTTTAATGAATTGCACAACCAAAATACAGATGGTGCCAAAAGTTCAGTGATCATTTTAGGTGCACTTGAAATGGTTGCAAGTCAAACAGCATACAGGGTAGGTAAAAAATATGAAGATTGTCCAAGAGTAAAGTACCCTTATTTCAGAAAATTCAGCAAAATGTTAATGAGAAAAGTTGTTTGCAATCGAATGTTATGCCAAAATACCAAATTATGGCCTCCTAAGACATATTTGAGTTTTAAAATTTCTTTCGTTAATAATATCCCAATTTGTAATTTTTTTATATTCACCCTGAACACTTCCATAAGTTAATCATAACAAGATCAGTTGATCATACCTTTGTTCAAATTCAAACATATTTGTGCAATTAACTTGGATTTTAATTTTTTTAGGGACTCACAGACTTTATGTTTGTTGCAACGATATTTAGTTTAACTTTAAAATTTCGCAAACCATATATTTAACAAGGTAATGCGTCATTAATGATAATTTGCAAAGTCAAAAACTGTCATTTAATGTGAACATTCTGTATTTGAAATGTTTATGAAAAAGCTGTACAAATCAATCGATAACCCAAGGAACAAAACAAATGAGCGTTGACAATTTGGTGACATTAACTTCTCATCTAATGATATTTTACCTTGTTAAAAATATGGTTTGCGAAATTTTAAAGTTGAGCTGAATATCGTTGCAACAAACATGAGGTTTGTGATTCCTTTAAAAAGTTAAAATCCAAGTTGATTGCACAAATATCCTTGGATTTGAACAAAGGTATTCTCAACTGATGTTGTTATGATTAACTCATGGAAGTGTTTAGGGTGAATCTGAAAAGAATTACAAATTGGGAAATTATTAACGAAAAGAATTGAAAACCTAAAAATTGTCTTAGGAGGCCATGCTTTGGTATTTAGGCATAACTTTCAATTGTTAACAACTTTTCTCGATAACATTTGACTAAATTTTCCGAAATAAGGGTACTTTACTCTTGAGCAATTTTAAAATCTTTTGACCTACCCTGTATGTGCCTCTAGACTGATTACCGAACATGCACCAACTTTCGGCACTATCTGTATTTTAGTTGTGCAATTCATTAAAAAGATTCCTATATGCTGCACACTTAAATGACCACATTGTATACTGAAGTGGTTATAAGTAAAAACAACCCCTTTTTGATGGTGACTAAGGCAGTAGATAATATGTATTGGTGAGATGAATAGCAGTTTTCTGGAGAATAATTAGCCCTATTTGAATCAAAAGTATTTTTTCACGTTAAAATTCTCCAAGAATATGATAATTTGGAAAGCAAAATGTTATAAATAAATCGTCATCAAAAAATGAGTTGTTTCTACCCATAACTACTTCAGTATGATACACATGACATTTTTGAAATATATAGCCCTGATTCTGATGCCTTCAGATTCCAAAACATCAATTGAAGATACTTAGTCGTTATAGCATTTCAATATACTCTGTATGTGTCTTAATAATTCGAACATTGATGATTAGATGTATGGAGATGAGAACAGTATATATAATCATATAAGATATCTTCAGATATCGCGAAACATGGAAAATACAACACGAAGAGACTGATAATTCCTAGACTGAATTCCAATGACAGTCATCTTACACTCATGGTATATTTCAATGCAAGCTCTACATACCAATGTATACTTTTCTATGCCTACTAACGATGAATGCAATTATTCCAAATGTTGGCATTGAAATTCATCATTATAAAAATAAATATGAAATTAATATTCCTACTCTGAAGTAGTACCTTACACCATTCATAGCAGTGAAGTTAGAAATAGACCTCTTGTAAACAGCTTGTTAAGCATAACTATTGATCTCTTACCACAGATATAAATAGGATCTCTCAATTGAAAAACTTCCCACAATCTGTATTATGACCACTCTGTGTACTATCAAGAATCATAGACAAGAATAATTGGAGTTCCGATCATTTCAAATTTTTTATATGCATTTTCCACGAGAGCTGTTTCAGTCCAACTTTCATTTTTTTCTTACAGGAGGAAATAACCGAAAAAGTAACCTCAGTCCTGGAGCGTACTCCACTCATCATAAAACCAAGAAAAACTTTGATCCAACTAACAAAAGAGAACGTATCTTTAACATCTGCTGTACTCATACCACTGTCTGCAAACGAAAATATCCCAACGGATCACAATAATGAGCTGGAAGATCAAAACCCCACACAAAACTACTACTTGCAAAACCTCTCGATGGCGCAAATCAACCTCTTGGATAGCACAAAAAATAAACTGCAGTTGGAATTGACACCTTGCATAACAATAGCTGACAGTAGTAGTGCGGTACTACCTTCTCAGTCGACGGAATTCTTGTCCTCGATGGACAGAAGTATCGATAGCATAACACCAGATGACAGTAGCTATGCGGGATTGTCGAAAATCAACTACGACATCGATTTCTCCGACCTGAGTGCTGAGAATAGCATGGCCGATGAACTGACCCCAGAAAAGCGGAAATCACCAACGCCTAGTTTTTCAACACCTGATCCTTTCAGCCCACTTGGAAGTTCCTGTTTATTGATGCAGAGTCCGCTGGTACCGTCTGCTGCGTTTCCACAACCGGAAGCTAAACCTTTGAAGAAAGACGATTTTGTTCTGCCTTTCTTGGAGGATATGCCCGTTCCGGAAGAGAGGTTGCTAGATAACATCGAGGAAACAACTGCCATAAGTTTACCTCCGCCCATGAAGCCCACTGCTGCGGAGTATACGGGTTTTTCTAAGCAAGGGTCGAAAATTCCTAGTATTCCGTGTAGTACAGGAGAGTCCGGATTCATGTCATTACCTCTTGACTTACCTTCATCATCCAAAGATTCTATTAATTGAAAAGTTTTATATTGTTACTAGTTGAGTAGTTTCGGCTAGAAACTAGAAATAAATGTTGAACAATTATTCAAGTCATAATTATTCAGAGTTGAAGGTGTCGCATTTTTCCACTTTCATCATCTTTCGACATTCACTAAAAAACTCAATTTTTCATCATCTTTCAGGGACACTACTTTCATGCTATAGTGAAGCGGCGCAGTGAAAAAACACATTTTCACCTTCGATTGTTAATGAAATTTACATTCCTATTAGTCAATAATGAAAACAATAATTGACAGCACCCAATGCTTATAAAAAAAAAACAGCCATTATTTTTAGGAAATATGTGCTAGTAATGGAGAAACTACAATAATTCAGAGTGTGAATAAATATGAGCAAATAAAAATCAGGAGGTGATTCCTTGTTATGTTCCATATAAAGATCTAACTTGCTTCGTTTTTGAAATATAGAGGATGTCGAAATTGGAAGTATTCATTGTTTTTTATGACCCCCTGAATGAGCTTTTACGGTGCCAAAATTTAGTGGGTAATCTAAATAATATGGGTGTGTTGGAAGCACCTACATTGAAATGTATAGTGGAATCCATTGGCATCAGGAACTGGTGGAGTGTTTCTCCACTGAGTGTATATTTACCTCAGTTTAAGAGTAAGAAGAAAACATACATTGAGTGCAGAAACACCACCAGTTCCTGCCAATGGAATTTGCTATTATGAGAGTCAAATGAAATGTTCACTGTTTTTTCACAAACAAAGCGAGATACTAAATACATGACATAAAAAAGGTGTATATAATTGTTCAATCTTATAAAGATATAAAACTCATATAACGATATCAATCATATATATAATTGGTAATTCACTGCGACGCCTCTGGAAGTATTATTTTGAATCTAATTACACCAGAATAAGAAGCTCCATGTTACAAAACCACCAAGTTCCCTAGAAATTGAGGAAGAGACTTCACAAATAATCGATAAAAAAAATCAATAGATTTTTACAATCATACCAAGCCAGTCAGTCAGCATATCCTCTTCGTCGTCATCGCAATCCCGAAATATATGAGGAACAACTCTTTACCAACACTTGTTTCTCTATATGACGGCAAAGCTTTGGAATTCTCTTCGCCAAAGGAAGTATTCCCAAGAGCTCATTATCTCTAGAAGTTCAAAAAATATTTCAATACCTACCTTATTTCTCTCCTTTATATCCCCCCTAAAAACGCACGATGTTCTTCGAACATAATAGGGAATCCCTTTCGTGCTTTCCAGTAGATAAACTAAATTGAATACCAACGTCGATGTTCTATTACCCAAAAATATAACCAAATATCAAATTGTTCAAAAAAACACATCAGTGCTTTCATAACTGAATAAATTAATTTTCAGCGAAACGATCCATTTCTCAGGAATATCCTGAAACGGTTTCAATCTCAATTTACCACATTTATGATGGAAAATTGAATATACAGGATGGTCCGTTTTTCAATAATGGAACACATTATATATAATTTCATTCTTGAAATCTTCTTGGAAAGCTGAATTCAAAAATATATCACACATAGGGTATGTATACAGTGCGTCCGTTAAAATTCAGTGCTCTGATAAAGTAGTGGGTAAATTATCAAATCATTGAAAAAATCATCATTGCAAAGAACACTTGGAGCCGTGGAATTTCATTTTCATGTTAGCATTCTCTCAAATTTAATTCATACATTCAGAATGATGATTCGTGTAGGAAAAATTACGTTGTCGGTATTTTTTAATGACAACCTCATTTATCTACTACTGAATTTGACAGACCGCACTGCATACAAACCCTATATGTGTGATGAATTTTTGAATTCCATGGAGATTCCAAATATTTTATATGCATATATATAGGGTGTTCCATTAGAAAAAAATGTTACGGACGTCATGACTCAAACGTGGAGCACCCTATATATCAAAGTTCTCCTCATAAATGTAGAAAATTGAAAAAAATCGACCTGTTTCAGCAGTTTCTTCGGAAACGTATTGTTCGGATAAGAATGAATGAATTCATTACTTTACGAAAGCAATCTGAATTCAAATCGCTCCTAAATCTCATGCGTAACACGAAGGGCCCCAATATCTAAAAATTTGGTTCATATAACAATGATAATAATTTCATGCTTGTATCACAAAGTAAACAATTGTAATACTATGCCGCTTCACTACTATAATAAACTTTCGCGGGAGCCAATGTACGATCGATTGTACCGGAAGTCAAAATAAAATTGATAAAATCAAATCAAATTATACTTTAGTTAGTATCTGAAGAAAGCTAATTCTTATTGACAAAGCGTTCCTCAAATATTATTTGCACTTTGCAGTCAATGTAAATGCACTTGAAAATCAATTATAACATTTGATACCCTAATTAGTTAGTGCCTCCAACAGGTAACATAGTCACAATATAATAAATTGAACATATATTGATAACACATCTACAGAATACATAATAAAACAATGAAACAAAAAATGAATAAATGAAATTAAATAAGGCGATTACAGAAGTGATATAGGAGTTAATGTGAGATTAACTTTGTTCTCACAATTGAGCTTCCTGTATATTATTGTGTTTCAGAAATCTACGTTGAATTAATTTTGAAATATTATTCTCTACATAAAACATTTACAGGTGGAGTGACCAATTCGCAACAATCAGGAACAGCTAAATTACGCTGAAAACTCCTCAAATCATCGTACAATTTTGGAATGAAGGCAATAGTTATCTAACCAACTAGTGTATATATTAATGGCCATTAATGATCGAGATATTTGAATGTGCGAGCAAAGCGATCGCGTTAATCTTCTAGACCATTGATCGCCTTTTGATATACGAATTGGTTAAAAAAATTTTTCATCGACCTAATTCCTGATGGAATGAAGGAATTCTTGATCAGAACATATTTATTCAACAATAACAACATCAATGATCATCATTTGAATCATGTTTGGATGCATTTATACATATAGAGATTTGTTATAGTCCAATTGGTGAAATTGATAGAGGGCATAGTTGAACTATCAGCCCTTTGATATTTTGAATTCAAATAATCCAGGTTAATGTCGTTACTGTGAATATTTATAACAATATTATGTAACAAAAAGAGAGAAACTCGAAGTCATTACCACAATAGTTCATAAAATGAACGAAAATTGTAGATAACGAGAGTAACTACTTTCCTGGCTATATGCCACGCAGAACATTGGATTACATCCTCCAGAAATCCATGCAATTATTCGTATAGACTAATAAAATCGCAAGTGGTTCCTTCCTAAACGCTGAGCTGCGCTTAAGTGGTTCAGGAATGCGTGACTACCTGCAGACCGGTTGTAAGCTCTCTCAAGGAAAAAACACTCCAAAACAAAAATCCCATTTCAGGTGAGATGGGAGTGGTTGCTTGCTCGACTGGCGTATTTTTCAACTAGGAAAAAGCCGAATACTCAAAGTGGAATGAAATGGTCACAAAAAGAGACAATCTCAGAGTCATTACCACAATAGTTCATAAAATGAACAAAAATGGTAGATAACGAGATAAAAACAACTACTTGCATGTTCAGCAACACAAACGAACAGACTTAATATGAGCAACTATTTTAGATAAATTTGATCACAAATATATCGAAGTCTGGAACCTTTGGCACGATAATACACTACTCTGTTTTACCACTAACCAAACCGATTCTTCATACGCCTCGGTACGTGTTGCGCTAACTATGTTAGCATCTTCAGGGAGAATATTAAAACAGCTCTATTTTTTTTATTTCTGACCGAATAATGTCGGCAGATTGTCAGGTGGCCTACTGGCGGCCAGCGCGACACGGGCTAGCCGGGCTGACGTTTTATCAAGATTGTGGCCCGCTGATGTTGTCTGTCGGCAGTTTTTGAAGGGCGCCTAAAGGCCCGCGGGATGTATGTTTGCTGGGTCACTATCAGCCCCAAATACAAAATTGGATCAAACCTCGATTGAAATTCACAGACGTGACATATTCGATTAATATCGCAATATAATCACAGAACAGCAAACATCAAATCTCTGGCCGCCTTCTGGCCCCGTACATGATAAATCGGCAAATTGCTGACCATAATTCGCGAAAATCACGAAGTGTGCGGCCTCTGGTGGCTAACTGTATAAGTCTTGCGAGTATGAACAACAAATATGGCGACCATTGTTTTGAATTTCATAAATATGTGTTTTATTTGGAAATAATTCATTTGTTGAAGTGCATATTCCAGAACCTCATTTCTCCCTGATGAAAAGACTAGAATTATTGCATGAACTTTTATTGTTTACAATGAAGAAACCAGTACCTACCTTATAATAATATAATATACATTTGAATTAGAATCATTGTATATGTTGGTTGTAATGATTCGATCTTGAGAACTTGAAGTCCTCAATTGCTGGAGATCCTTGTTTATGTGAATCGATAATATTGTTCATTCTGAGCAGCCTCTCCAACCATATCTTCTTTTCCAACCCCTTCACTAGAATTCCATCTCCTTCATAAGAGCCAGTGATATTTCTTGATGAATTCAGTTATTTCTTCATACCCATACCATATTGTCCATTCCAGTCCATGCAAGTGTTATTTGAGTGGACCATTCCGATCATTCCTTATGTTTGAAAACTGTGGGATTGTAGTGTGATATCAATGATGAATACCACCATTGTCCACATCAAAATGGCAATTTCTCTGCACAAAAAGTAACTTTTTCCATACTGGAAACCTTGTACGTATTTCAAGAAGTCAACTTATTATTCACTATTTAGCAAAATGATTTGGAAATAACCAATTTGCAATTAATGCATACGGCAATGTTTTTGTTGTTCATACTCAATTGGAAATTTGACGTTGATTTGACGTTAAATAGAGCCATCTCCCAGACAACACAAGTGAATCCATTGGACAACCAATGGATGTCCAGCTATGGATACCCTGGACATCCATTGGATGGACGGCATTGTCCAGTATTTGTCCAATGGACATCCATTGGATAATACATGTCCAACAGTTTGGACATACATTGGAAGTCCATT